TATATATATATATATATATATATATATATATATATATATGTATGCTTAAAAATCGTAAATAATTGGAAGATTTCTCCATAGTTCAGTAAGATATTAAATGAAAGATAAATTCAAATTAATAATTGATAATTTGAAAAAAAAATTGAACAAACAGACAAAATCTTCAAAATTATCATTTTATACTCGAAGAATTTCTGCTGCCTTGTTATAACATATAGCAATCCAATCAGGTTGTGTAGCACCCCATTGAATTTGATTAACTTCTCCTTCAGCTGCTGTATATGCAAGAATAGGATCTTCTATGGCTCTTGGCATTTGTTGTATATCCCAAATTAACGCTTGATGATCATCCGCTGCGGTACAGATATGACAAGAGGAATGTGGTGCCCAAGCGATGCCATTAACACTTGCTCTGTAAATTTCAAATTGTATAATATATAATATATTATATATAAATATCAAATAGATGTAAGGAATATGAAGTATATATATGTTATAGTTTTATATAGTCTATATAGTTACTAAATAAGGTATATTGTTTAATGTTGTTTATATTGTTTTATATTGTTTTTATCTAGTTAATATTAATATCTAATATTATATTAGGGCACAATTAGAATTAAGTATATTGTCTAGGGTAACGAACATGTAGGGGGGGGGCCTTCGGAGTAAACACCCTAAAGGGGTATACCTGAAAAATAAACTTCTTCTATATATAAATATCAAATTGTATAATAGAATACATACAATAATAAAAAAAATGAATATATATATTCATAAAATAATGAATATATATATTCATAAAATAATGAATATGTATATTCATATACATATATTGTATATTGTATTGTATAGTTGTTTGATAAATAATTTCTAATAAATACCTGTGATTGTTTAATCTAGCAACCGGCGTGCATGGGACACGAACATCCAAAATTATAACTTCACACGCATCCATAGCAATGGTAGCAAGATAATTAGGATCTTGTTTATTCCAAGCAAGTCTAAGTAACGGCGTATGTTGTGGATCTTCGTAAATAATAGTCGAATGTTCTAAATGTCTTAAATCAAACATTCTAACTGATCCATCAGCACCAACTGATGCAAACATGTCTCGTCCTCCACCGGCACGACTGAACGCAATATCGTATACTTCTTTATCGTGAGCTATTAATTGTGTTTTCACGTGTCCAGTAACAACGTTAACTCTACCTAAAACTTGTCCAGTTTCTAAACCCCAAATGGTACAAGTTGTGTCTATACTAGAAGTTCCTATTAAATTTGGATCAACTTCATTCCAATCGAATGAAGTCAATGGTGCACAAAAGTCTGAATTTTTATTATTATTTAAAACACATTCTAAACGAGTCTCTGGTTCTACCGCTCTCCATACTCTCAAATAATCTCCCGAAGTTGCCAATAAATCAGGAAACAGTCCTGAAAAGAAAACAAAAGTGTTATTACTATTGAAAATAGAAATATATGTATGTATGTATGTATGTAATGTAATAAATGTAAATGAATAAAGTTTACCTTTACTATCCGGTATCCACATAATCTTTGTCGTTGGGTATGGATGATCAAATGTACTTTTGGGAATAAATTCAGAAGTCTCTTCATCAAGTGAAACTATTTGTACTTTGTTATTATACTCCTCTACAAAACTACCAAGTGCCAAACGAAAACGTTTGTCTGGTCTTACTGACCAGTTCATACTGTACAAAGACCACGGTGCTTCATATTTATAAATTTCTTTTCTTTTTGGAGGTACATTGTGCAATGCCATTTTGTCTATTAACAATTATACAAAACTTCTTTTTACACTATTTAAAAAGTATAACACAACACAACTATTAAATCTCAAACTTAACACTTCCTTTTAACATTTACTGCATAGTATTCTCATTATAATCATCAATTTGGTTAATTTGTGAAAAACATTATGAATATATAGTTATAATCACGTCAAGTTTAATTACAAATAATCATAAATAATTGTTAATTCAATCTAATTTCAGGATTAATGATTATCCAACTAATGATACACACAAAACGTATAAACAAATAAGCTAACGCTCTCAAATACGTGAAAACGTTATAGAACAAACTATGTATTATGTAGAAGAGCAATCGAACATTTTTAAAAGATTTTGTTTCAATTTTATTCGCTAGGTTTGCTAGTGTCGCCTTCAATTGCGATAATAAGTATTACTTTATCTTACCGACTGGTATAATATATGCTGCCATCTAGCAGTACTAGCTATAACTTCATTGTTACCGATTGTGCCGTCATCTAGCAGTACTAGCCATTATTACGAACATCTGCGCAAACTCAACAGGATGGCGGTAAAATGATCATTATTATCTAATAAATTAACAAGTAATTCTTAACATTTGTACAAGTGAAATACTGTAAAAAATTCTTTTTTATTATTTGCGATATAATAATATTCAAAAATCAACAATAATATGTTTATTAACAATTCGGCAAAAATTTAGCGGGAAATTATAGTATTCTGATTGGTCGTCGTAATCTGGGCGCTAAAATAAAAACAATTTGACCAATCGTAATTCAGTAAAACATCATTTCAACATTACATGAAGTACAATTATATACGGCGGTGTGCTGCTGTGTTATACAGTCTTCCAGGAAAATTCTCGTAAGAAAATTAGAAAGATGCCTCTTCAATTATCAATGAAAGAAAATATTCGCAAATGTTCGGAAAATATTTCTATGAAGGAAAAAGTAAGTTTTGTAAATGATATTAAAAATATTTCTCACTCGTATACTTTTTAAGATCAAAATAAATATTCGTATTTTAATTAGATAGTAAGACGTTACATGTTATTTTAAGTATTTCTTTTTTTTTTTTATTTTTTATTATTAACATTTATAAACTAATATTTTTAATAAAAAGATAACGAATATATTTGGTAACCTTACAAAATTCAATGAAATTTCATTAGTACGAAAGATACATTTTCTAACATTTTTTTTTTTTTATTATAAATTTGTTATTTTCTTATTATTATTTATATATAAGTATTTTTAAAAAATTCTTATTATTATAATAAATCTTTATTATAAACCATTATTATTTGCAAATAATTTATTAGTCATAGGTCATATACTCATATATACAAATATCTATATATATATATATATATACTAAGTGTTACTATATGTTACTATAGTTAATCGACTATATAAATATAATACAAATTTAAATATTAACATATATTTCTTTTTAAAAAAAAATATTTTAACTAAATAATTATTCTTGAAAAATTTAGTAAAAAAAAAAATATTCCAATACTAAAATTTAATTCTTATTAATAAATAAATTGAGAGATAAAACTTGACTGATAGCATAAATCATTTAAACAATAATTATAATATTATTCTAAATGAAACGTACAAAGATGAACAATAAAATGTAAGTTTTAGATTGACGATATAAAAATGTTATTTATTCAGTGCATTTTGTATCATTGCATATATTACAAAACAGGTTATGTTTTAGTACTATATCTCAAATATTGTGTTATCAATAATAATGTTTAAACTGTATATATCTATAAATTAATAAAATATCATGAATTCATTATATTTTGAAGGATTTTCATTGTTACTATGAAAATTGTTAATAATTATTAAAAAAAATGTATTTAATGTGAACTATAATACAATAACTCTGCTATTCACGAGTATTACACGTGTATTTTTATTTTTCATACAATTAGACCGATAACATTGTTTTTAATTTAAATGCAATAATTTAACATGATATCATTTACAAAGGTAATGGTCAAAAGTGTAGGATTAATTATTAATTTTTTATGTAATATTATTTGACCATTAATATATAATTTATTATTAATGAAATATTAATTATATTTCAATATTTAACTTTATGTTAAAATGATTATTTCAGACATCACCTAAGAAGTTATGCACCACCTCACCAGGTTTACGAGAGAATCATCTTAATAATCGAAACACCGTAAGAAAAATCATCTTTAAAATTATTTAATTTAATAGAAATATCTATAATTAGATATATATATATATATATATATGTATTTATATAATAAAAAATTGATTTTACTCTTGTAGATTAATGAAACGACAAAGGCAGTACGAAAGATTCAGCTTCAGGATAACGAATTTAATCCTAAATTAGAACCATTGTTAAAAGAAAATCCACGGAGATTTGTAATATTTCCAATACAATGGAATGACATTTGGCAAATGTATAAAAAGGCAGAAGCATCGTTTTGGACTGTAGAAGAAGTTGATCTTACTAGGGTATAATTATTTATTGTCACTTCTTATATTATTTTCTTTGCTAAATTGATCAAATTATTCTCGTTTGAATAAATTTCAAACGTTATTTTTAATCTTCTTCTTTTTCTTTTTGTTTTTTCTTTTTTCAGGACATGGATGATTGGAATAATTTAAATAAAAATGAAAGACATTTCATAACACACGTATTAGCATTTTTTGCTGCTTCCGATGGAATCGTCAATGAAAATCTCGTAGAACGTTTCAGTCAAGAAGTTCAAGTTACAGAGGCACGTTGTTTCTATGGATTTCAAGTAGCAATGGAAAATGTTCATTCTGAAATGTATTCTTTGTTAATCGATACATATATCACGGATTCGAAAGAAAGGTAATTTTAAAATAATAATAATAATAATAAAAACAACATGTGTGTGCAGATCACACGTGTGTTAGAAGTGAAACTTTTTCAAAAAAAAAAAAAACTAAGTTTTTAGAGAATGAGAAGACGAATGCAGAGAGTATCAGGAGTAAAATAATTGTAGGATAATAATAATATTGTTAATTTGCATAAATGAAATTCACAGAGAGAAACAAGTTCTTTTGGAAATTAATGAAATGATGCGTATAAAGAAATTAATAATAAAATGTAACTCTCCTGTGTTTTTTTTTTTTTTTTTCACAGAGAATTCTTATTTAATGCCATTGAAACTCTTCCATGTGTTGCCAAAAAAGCTAATTGGGCATTGAATTGGATCAATCACGAAAGTGCAACGTTTCCTGAACGTGTTGTCGCATTTGCCGCAGTCGAGGGAATATTTTTCAGTGGTAGTTTCGCTGCCATATTTTGGTTAAAAAAGAGAGGATTAATGCCTGGTCTTACTTTCAGTAATGAATTAATTTCTAGAGACGAGGTTGATATATATATTTATTATATATATATATATGTTTACTATATATGAAAAAGTATATTTTGTAATATTGTAATATAATATTTAATGCAGGGATTACATTGCGACTTTGCTTGTTTAATGTTTAAACACATTATACAAAAGCCTTCTCACGAACGAGTTATTTCAATTATTAAAGATGCTGTAGAAATTGAACAGGAATTTTTAACAAAAGCATTACCAGTTGAAATGATCGGCATGAATTGTACACTCATGTGTGAATACATCGAATTTGTCGCAGACAGATTACTCAGTGAACTTGGATGTCCAAAGGTATATATATATATACAATCATTTCATCAAATATTATATTTCTTTTTTGTTTTTTGTTTTTTTTTATAATAGAAAAAATAATTAATGACAAATGTTCATTTTTAGGTTTACATGTCGAAGAATCCATTTGACTTTATGGAACAAATTTCGTTGGAAGGTAAAACGAACTTTTTTGAAAAAAAGGTTGGAGAATATCAAAAGTTTGGAGTTATGCAAGATAAGTTTGAATCGAATTTTTCGGTCAATGCTGACTTTTAAATATAAAATGACTAAAATCCGTGACTTAATTAAAACCAAATTAATTTGTATTATTATTATTTAAGATAGAAAAAAGCGTGATTCATTAGGCTATAAAAAAACAAACAAACAAAGTTGTTTATAATCAAATTTTCGACTTTTCTAAAGTATATATAAAAATAATTGCATGAAGAAAAAGAAAAAAAAAAGACATCTAATTTGTACAAGTACATTATTTATCTATTAGAATTGTTCTTTTTTGTTTGTTTTTTTCTTTTTTTTTCTTTTTTTTGTTTTCGTTATCATGTTACCTCGCGTTATTTTATTTATCGACAAAAATGATATTTGACGACCGAGAAAAATGAACAATGTACAGGATATTTTTTATTTCTTTTCTTTTTTTTTTTTTTGAAAGAACAAAACACTAAATATTAATTATTAGAAAGAACATATTAGTGTTCTATTTTTCGTTTTATATCAAATAGATTATTTTTCATAGATTAATCACTAAGTGATAAATTATTATATTTTTTTTTTGTTTTTTTGTTTATCAGTCAAGATGACGAAAAAAATTATCAAAATGGTTAAACGTTTAAATCTGTTATTATTAGAAATATCAAATATTTATCTTTCGAAAGAATATATCTACCTTTATTTAAAATCTTTTGTAAAAGTTTGATCAGTATTGTATGTGTGTATATATTTGGCATATATGTATGTATGTATGTATATAATTCAAAATAAAATGAAATGTAGAAATAATCTAACGATAATCATTAATAATTGTTAAACATGTGTATATTATTTAAAGACCAATATAATATACACCAATCTTAACCCCTTGAGTACTGAATTATTTGAAAAATTTTTCTGTATACATAACGAATTTAATTTGTTATTATTATAATTATATATGGATTAATATGTTAAAGTAATACATATTTTATTTGAAATATATTTATATTGATGATATAATTTTATATGATATTATATGATATAATATTTTTGTTTGCAACAACATTTTAATTACTAAATGTTAATAATAAATATTATAAATAAAACAAAATACCCAAGTAAGCAGATGACGTGTCTCACACGTCAAATGTACCCAAAGGGTTAAAAAGTCAAAACTTACTTATATTTGCATTAAATTGTTATCAATAATTAAATCATCTTAATCTCATGTTATTTTATTTATTTAATTACAATTTGTTATCATCTATTCTTACTTATTATCAATTCATATTTATAAATACAGTACAATCTCATTAATTCGGCACTATATTAAAAACCATAGGGTGCCGGATTATTGGAATGTTCGGATTACTGGATTATAGAGAAAAATATCATAATAAATGAAATAAAGCATTTTATAAAGAGAATATAATGTATATATGTATGTACATATTTGTGTTCTTGTTCGACAGGTTTTATTGTAACTGTGACATATTTCAAAATTGCACGTGATAAGTTTTGAGGTTAGACTGCTAAACGACGGAGCGCATAGGCGTAGAGGGGCGAGGGTGGCGCGGGCGGGGGGTGCCGGATTA